GTGAAATTAGATCACCCACCTCCCTCCTGGCCTTCAGAAAAAAACTAAAACATGGCTTTGGAACCAAGCTTTTTGTGAGTAAAGTAGAATTGTGCAATGAGAGATTACAAATATCATAATGACGACTTGGACCGGCCTTGGAATATGTCTTGGATTGTGTGAGTTTAATTGTTGTGTAATATTTGTTGTGTAATATTTGATGTTTCAATTATTTTGGATTTTAATGCTTTGTTTATTTGTCTATCTACAGCATCTATATCTATATAAATGTGGCATTGAATTGTTGTCTATGTGAGGCTGCCCTGAGTTCCCTTGGGACAATCCTACACTTGTCAAAGCAGTCGTGAAGTCCCAAAGCCCCTGGATCCAATTACCTTGTCCTGCCTGGTTCTACAAATATGTTAAACGGAGACTACCTCTGCTGGCCAAATATAACCCTCATACAGGGCGAAATATGTGAATTGAGACCATGGATACTTTTGTTAACATTTTACCTCTCAGCACACATGTAAGCAACATGTAAACCAGTTGTCACCACGATTCTCAACATTTGCACACTATTTTCCAGAAAAGGTGCAGAAACAGGCAACCCCCGACAAAACATGGACTGGAGCAATTCTCCTATCAGCCTTAGGTCTCTTCTGTTTAGAAGATGAGTTAGGTAAGGAGAGAAATGGGAAAGAATTGACAGAATCAAAACTCACAGCAACCCAGTGATTCTGACTATGAAAGCCTTCGACAACACATTGAACTTGAGGTGGCTAACAATCACACACATTAATCCATTTAAAACAAAGCAAATAGGAAAATTAATAAATAATTAAATAGTATTGTGTGTCTGGTTAAAAATTCAATTAAAACATATTAAATACAATTAAAATGCATAATTCCCCCTCCCCCAAAAATCCCACCCACAACCTGCTCAGCTATGAGCAATTGGGATGAAAAGAAACTGCTGCCCAGGCCAGGAGTTGTCTTGCAAAGTAGGCAGTTCTGGACTAGTTCTTGTATGGAGGCTTCTTCTATTGTCACACCCAAATATGTTGTGTTTTGCAATGAGAAGTGAAAGGATGTGTCCTTACGATTTCAGAGGTTTAAAAATAATGAACAAGTTTGCAACCCAGATTGAGAGGAGCAGGACTGACAGTTTGAAGCTGTAGGCAGTTAACATGAAGTATTTAAGATGATTCGGGCTGCAATCTGGTGTGTGCTTCCCGTGTAGCAAGGACCATTGAGCACAGTGCATCAGAGTAAACATGCTTTGAATAAGAATGCAATTCCCATCGAGGCTGGGAGTCTTTAAAAAGTTGCTTGAAATAAATGCTTGAGACCGCAATGGTTATGGAGGACAGGTAAAAGATGGGATAGGAAGCACCAATTAGGTGCATTCGGGATTCCCAAAAGAAGGGGATCAAAGGACCCCCCCCCCCCATTTCTACCTCTGGAGTACAGCCACTTTTATGAATTTGTTTGTTTAGTTGGTGGACTCTACTCTTTCTTGTGGCAGTAAATGTAATATGTGTAAAGAGCTGCTTCCTTTCACGCACATCTCACTCATTGACTTCTCAGATTTTGGTATTCTGAAAACTGAGGCCAAAAAACCCACACCTTTGCTTGCTTCACACTTTACATTCACACTTGCCTCAAAGAGACAAGAGTTTTTTCTCTCACCCTGGACGTTCCACAGATATATAAACCCCACTTGCTTGGTTTCCAACAGACCTCACAAACTCTGAAGATGCCTGTCATAGATGTGGGCAAAAGGTCAGGTGAGAATACTTCTGGAACATGGCCAGACAGCCCAGAAAACTCACAGCAATCCACCTTGAGTCCCCTCGAGGAGAAAGGCAGGATGTAAATATAGTAAATCTATATAAATAAAAATGTAATGTTCGTTTGTGGGATTAACATAACTCAAAACCACTGGACGAATTGACACCAAATTTGGACACAATATACCTATCAGGCCAACGAGTGACCATCACTCATAAAAACACTGAAAAACACAGCAGAAGAGACTTAAAAAGCCAAAAAATAAAAATTACATTACAACACTTGCGCAAAACCACACACATACATATAATACATACATACATATATGCGCAAACACACATACACACATATACACAAATATATGCACATATACACACACACAAAACACATATACACAGACTTGGCCACAGCAACGTGTGGCAGGGGATGGCTAGTAATAAATCTGGGATGCTAGAGATCCCCGAGACCCCCACATGCACAACATGTGAATTAGAGGGACAGACTTTCCAAGCTCCTGTCAATCAAGTCTAGAATTTGAAGAGCTGCCTGTCTGCCATCTGAAAGACTTTTTCTCTTTGACAAAGACTTGGTTCTTGGGTATTTTTTACACTGGCAATCAAAAATAAGAGGCACAAACAGATAGAGACACTTAAGAAAAACAAAGCTAAATAAACGCGTGGGCTTTTATGAAGTGCAACTCGTTTCCACACCACCGTCTCCTGAAATTGCAAGGAGGTGGTGGTTGGGCTGTTCATTTTCCAGCCTGCAGACTGTGATCTCTCACCCTTGGCACCCATCCAAGAAGAGGGGAAAGTGGGGGGGGGGTCACCCCTGGGAGACTAGCCAATATTTTCACCATCTTTTAGATAGCTTTTTTTTCCCCCTGCGGCAATGACACCCAAGAAAGCCAGCCCTTACATTAGGGAGCGTGAGCCTCTGGGGCAGACAGAGAGAGAGAAGAGAGAGAGAGGGAGAGAGCGGGCGACTGATGCCCTGTTCCTGAAGCGAGGCTGCTCCCCTCAGGAGAGAAGGAAGGATGCTGTCCAACTCACCTGAGTTGAAACAAGCTCTCGTTCAGGCAAGAGTTCTTTCTCCCACCCTGGACATTCCATAGATACATAAACCCTACTTGCTTTGTTTCCAACAGACCTCACAAATTCTGAAGATGCCTGTCATCGATGTGGGCAAAACGTCAGGAGAGAATGCCAGACAGCCCAGAAAACTCACAGCAATCCACCTTGAGTCTCAGAGCCCCCGGTGGCACAGTGGGTTAAACCCCTGTGCCGGCAGGACTGAAGACCCACAGGTTGCAGGTTCGAATTCGGGGAGAGCGTGGATGAGCTCCCTCTGTCAGCTCCAGCTCCTCATGCGGGGACATGAGAGAAGCCTTCCACATGGATGGTAAAACATCAAGACATCCGGGCGTCCCCTGGGCAACATCCTTGCAGACGGCCAATTCTCTCACACCAGAAGCGACTTGCAGTTTCTCAAGTCGCTCCTGACACGACAAAAAAAAAACCTTGAGTCTCCTTGGAGACAAAGGCAGGAAGTAAATATATATAGTAAAATAATAATAATAATAATAATAATAATAATAATAATAATAATAAATAAATAAGAGTTCTTTTTCCCACCCTGGACATTCCAACACACCTCACAACCTCTGAGGATGCCTGCCATAGATGCAGGTGAAATGTCAGGAGAGAATGCTTCTAGAACATGGCCAGACAGCCCACAAAACTCACAGCAATCCACCTTGAGTTTTCTCGGGGACAAAGGCAGAATACAAATACAGTAAAATAATAAATAAAATAATAAATAAGAGTTCTTTCTCCGACCCTGGACATTCCACAGATATATAAACCCATTTTCCTAGTTTCCAACACACCTCACAACCTCTGAGGATGTCTGCCATAGATGCAGGCAAAACATCAGGAGAGAATGCTTCCAGAACATGGCCAGACAGTCTGAAAAACTCACAACAACCCAAGCTCTCTTTTCCTTCTGGTTGATGGAAAGGGATGGACCAATTGCCCATTTGCCTCTGACATGTCCTGACGCGTGACCAACATTAGAATAATAGTTGGAAGAGACCACATGGGCCATCTATAGGAGAACCCTTGGCATGCAAGAAAAACAAAAATCAAAACACCCCCAACAGATGGCCATCCAGCCTCTCCTACTTGTTTTCTGCTTCCTTGGAGACTAGGACGCGGAACAATGGCTTCAAACTACAAGCAAGGAGATTCCATCTGAACATTAGGAAGAACTTCCTGACTGTGAGAGCTGTTCAGCAGTGGAACTCTCTGCCCTGGAGTGTGGTGGAGGCTCCTTCTTTGGAAGCTTTTAAACAGAGGCTGGATGGCCATCTGTCAGGGGTGCTTTGAATGCAATATTCCTGCTTCTTGGCAGGGGGTTGGACTAGATGCCCATGAGGTCTCTTCCAACTCTATGATTTAAAGCTTCTACTACACTCCAAGGCAGGGAGAGTTCCCCTGTTGAACAGCTCTTAAGGTCAGAAAGTTGAGGTGGAATGAAGCCATTCAGGTCTTGAAAATGGATACTATCAAGTTTTCAGAACCTCCACTATCAACCCCCAAAAAGCCCACAAAGCATCTAGGAAACTTTTGCTGTCAAGTCAGCTCCTTGGTCCTTGCTCTCCTAGGTCTCGCCTTGGGCAGGAGATGGCACTAGGGACACGACCCCCTCCATCCCTGTGGACTGAGGACCGGCTCCAACCCCCCTTCAGTGACAGGAGGAAACTTTCAGGAGGAAGGGGGGTGATGACAAAGCGCCTTCAAGGCACAAAGTCCTCCCTTCCTTTGCAAGAGCCGCCTGGGGATGGACGGAGGGGCCAACCGAGGGGCGGGGAGGGTCTGCTCCCCCTTCCCGAGAGGAAGAGAGGAGGAAGGGGCGCCAGGCCGGGAGAGGAGGAAACTTTTGGACTCTGGGGTTGGCAGGAGGGCTGGAGACCAAGGGCAGAAGCAGAGGAGAAAGAGGAGGCAGAGGAGGAGCCCCTCCGCGCCGCCCATCTGCCCCAAGCCCCTCGCTGCCTGGCTGCCTGGCTGCCTGGCCCGGCCTGCTCCCTTCTCCCCACTGAGGATGGGAAGCGGGACCCCGCCGGGTGGATGCTGCCGCCGCCGCTGCTGGCATTGCCGCCCGCTCTCCGGGGCTGCCCCTTCCTCCCCTTCCCTTCCCTTCCCTTCCCTTTCTTCCCCTTCCCTTACCTGCGCGCAGGAGTCCAGCCAGATCCCGGTGGCGCCGCGCGGGTTGTCAGCAGCCCGGGTGGGCGAGCGAAGCAGGCAGGCAGGCAGGGAAGGAGGGAGGGAGAGGAGGCTGGGCGAAGGCGAGCTGGACCCAGGCAGCAGCAGCAGCAGCAGCAGCAAGAGGAGGAGGAGGAGGAGGAGCGGATGCTGCTGCTGCTGCTCCTGCCGCCTCTCTCTCTCGCTCTCTCTCTCTCACTGACTGGCTGCTGCAAGGGACCGAGGCGAAATTCTGCCGCCGAGGACAAGCGCAGACAACGCGTTCGCCAGGTGCGTCGCAGAGCTCCAGGAGGGCCGCCCAGAAGGACCCCCCGCCCCCGTGACTCCAATGGAAACAAGGCGCCCTCCTCCTGCTCACCTGGAAGGGAACTGGGGGGAAAGGAGGAAGGAGGGACCCAAGCCCAGACCCCCTCCCCCGGAGCCCCTATGGGCCACCTTCCTTTCTATACTACCAGGTTTGGATGAAAAGTAATGCCTCCACCATTGTAACTCCTCAACGGATGGCAGTACTGGTATGCGGCAGGTACTGGCTTGTTCAGTAGACTCTCCTCTACAGTTCCATTTTGGCAGGAAGCCTTAGCATTGAATGGTTGTGTTGTTAAAGTGCAAAGTATGGAACCCTGCGCAGACGGTCGGTCAATGCGACTAAAGCAACGTGCAGTCATTGAACGCCCCTGTAACTCCAATGGAAACAAGGCACCCTCCTCCTACTCACCTGGAAAAGAACTGGAGGGGGAGGAGGGAGTAGGGACCCAAGCCTAGACCCCCCCCCCCAGCCCCTGAACTCTTCTGTGGGCCCCCTTCCTTTCTATAATTCCAGGGTTGAATGAAAAGTAATGCCTCCACCTTTGTAACTCCTCAACAGATGGCAGTACTGGTATGTGCGCAGGTACTGGCTTGTTCAGTAGACTCTCCTCTACAGTTCCATTTTGGCAGGAAGCCTTAGCATTGACTGGTTGTGTTGTTAAAATGCAAAGTATGGAACCCTGCACAGATGGTCGGTCAATGCGACAACACCCCATTACTCCAATGGAAACAAGGCGCCCTCCTCCTGCTCCCCTGGAAGGAAACTGGGGGGAAAGGAGGGAGGAGAGACCCAAGCCCTCCTTGGGTCTCTCCGGAGCCCCTGGACTCTTCTATGGGCCCCTTTCCTTTCCGTAATACCAGGGTTGAATGAAAAGTAATGCCTCCACCATTGTAACTCCTCAACAGATGGCAGTACTGGTATGTGGCAGGTACTGGCATGTTCAGTAGACGCTCCTCTACAGTTCCATTTTGGCAGGATGCCTTAGCATTGAACGGTTGTGTTGTTAAAGTGAGAAGTATGGAACCCTGCACAGACGGTTGGTCAATGCGACTTAAGCAACGTGCAGTCATTGAATTCTTGACAGCAGAAGTTGTCTTATCCAGGCTACCTCAGAGAGAAGTTTGGCAACAATCATGGTCACATAGGGGAATTTAAAAAAAACCTAGTAAAAACTTTATTTGGATTTGGGCTGATCTACTGGGAAGGTTTCTCAGTAGTAGGGTAAAAGTAAAGGTTTTCCCCTGACATGAAGTCCAGTTGTGTCCAACTTTGGGGATTGATGTTTATAATAAAGATAAGCGACAACCAGGGCAGGGGGAACAACAAATCACACCACTGCCCACCAAGGTGAAGGGTTTAACGTTCAGCTGGACACTATTTTAACGAGGATATCTGGCTGTGACAAAGGGGGAAAGACTCTCTTATCCCACCTCAGCAATACCGTTGAGTGACCAACTGTGCTAACGATGTTAATCAGGTAGATTTGCCGCCACCACCTCAATTAATGTCTGAGGAAAACATAAGTGTGAATGTGAAAATGGGCAGAATATGTTCAAGCCCTTGGTTCTTCTTTACTGGCTGCTTCTTCCACTGACTGGACTGAAATTAAGTTGTTTTTAGGCTGGCTGAGATCTAGACCGAGGCAGACACCAGTTTAAAGATGAAATAAACAACAGGTTTATTGAAACTTGGTGAACCAATCAACTCTTAATTAGAGTGGTACAAAAGCGTAATGCGGTTACTTGAGGCTTAGCTGGTTAAACCGGCAGTCTTCATTCAAGACTTTAACTTTTGTTCCCTGTGAGTTCCTTGCTTCACACTGTTCACTAACTCTGACACAGTGTGTCACTGAGAACAGCCCCACTGACTGTCTCACAGAGCAAAATTAGGCTTTCCTTCACTGACCCTACTAAGCACAGTGACTCAGGAACCTTTGCCTTTCCTATGCTCTAACTACAAGGCTCACCTCAAAAGTTCTCCCTGTCTAAATTCTTCACAGCTCCCTCTTCCTAACTATACTTCTTCACTCTACGATGTTTAAAGCTCAACTCCCCAGCTTGTCAAATAAGACAGCCTTTTTTCCCTCTCAAAGCTTGCTCCTCCCCTTACTGCTCTAGCCAATCAGGAGTCGGCTGACTCCTCCCTCTTGCCTCTTAGCTCTCCTGCCTATCTCTGAACACGTCAGCTACTGTCTTTCCAGGCTTCGGCCTTCCTGGCAAAAGGTTAGATTCATGACAATGTTCATCTCCATTTCTAAGCCGAAGAACCAGCGTTTTCTGTAGACACCTCCAAGGTCATGTGGCTGGCATGACTGCATGGAACGCTGTTACCTTCTCACCAGAGCAGTACCTATTGATCTACTCACATTTGCATGTTTTCGAACTGCTGGGTTGGCAGAAGCTGGGGCTGACAGTGGAAGCTCACGCCGCTCCCCGGATTCGAACCTGTGACCTTTCGGTCAACAAGCTCAGCAGCTCAGTGCTTTAACCCACTGCACCACTGGGGGCTCCAGTATCAGTAGTAGGTTACTAATATGTAGCTGAGTTTGTTTGTAAAAACTGAAGGACAATAAATGTGAGGCATAGGGCCCTTCCACACTACCTCTTTATCCCAGGATCTGATCCCAGTTTATCAGTTTACCCCAGGGCCCTTCCATACAGCCATATAACCCAGAATGTCAAGGCAGAAAATCCCATAATATCTGCTTTGAACTGGGTTATCTGAGTCCACACTGCCATATATTCCAGTTCAAAGTAGATAATGTGGGATTTTATTCTGCTGTGTGGAAGGGGCCCTGGGTTATCTGGCAGTGGGGACTCATATATTCCAGTTTAAAGCAGATAATCTAGGATCAGAACCTGGGATAAAGGGCAGTGTGGAAGGGTCCATACATTCAACATCTTGGTTATTACAAGGGCAAAGTCTTGCGTTGCTTGGAACTCCGCAAATTTACCTCAAAGCACTTCGGATGGGAACACATTGCACCTTGGCTTGGAGAATAGATGGCAATATTTGGCCACAGACATGTTCTTAAGATAATTTGCTTCATGAAAAGGGACAGCAAAGTGTATGCTCAGAGCACTTGGGGAAGAAGAAACATATGAGCAGTAATGCAGCTCACCGAAGGCAATGTCCTACAGTCTTTGTTTGATAGATTTAAGTGCCATGTCATAACCAATATGAGATAAGAGGGAGGAAGAGAGGCCAATAGAAGAGGCTTTTCTAGAGTTAAGCTTCAGCCAGTTGCTGATGTGATCATTCTGGGCTAGATGGTAAATCAGACCTGAGCCCAGTCTGAAAACACTGACCTTAATCCAAAATTTAAGGGCCCACTACCAAGCTTCCCCCCGCCCCCAGAATCTAACAGTAAGACATAGGTTGGCACACATCTGGGGAACTGGAAGACGGCCCTCAAGAACTGTGATTGGTGCTAATTTATCTTAGGTGTTGAGCCACCAATTCAGGTGCTGGATGCATCCAGCAACTGGGTGAATGTCTTAACATTAAATTTTAAATAGCTTTTTTTGTCATTTCAGGAGCAACTTGAAAAACTGCAAGTCACTTCTGGTGTGAGAGAATTGGTCATCTGCAAGGACATTGCCCAGGGGATGCCCAGATGATTTGATGTTTTTATCATCCTTGTGGGAGGCTTCTCTCATGTCCCCACATGAGGAGCTGGAGTTGATAGAGGGAGCTCATCCGCCTCTCCCCAGATTCGAACCTGCAACCTGTTGGTCTTCAGTCCTGCCGGCACAGGGCTTTTTAAATAGCTGATGGTATATACTAGGCATGGGCAACCTTTGGTCCTCCAGGTGTTTTGGACTTCAACTCCCACAATTCCTAACATATAGCAGGCTGTTAGGAATTGTGGGGACTGAAGTCCAAAACACCTTGAGTGCCAAGTAAATAAATAAGTAAATAAGCCTGGTAAATACCGACCCCTTTTGGTAATGCTAAAACACAAATGGCAGATCTGCTAACTTGTGCTTTCAGGGAAATAGAAGGAATGTGGGTGGACCAGGACAGAGCGTGAATTTATATACAAGGTTTGTGGATACAATGTCTGATTTGAATATGCCCTTTAACAGCCATTACAGTCATTAGGGTATGACTGGTTACAATTCCCATTATCCCCAGTCCGCATGATAGATAACACTATGTAATACCATTTTTATACTGGGTTATCAATGTCATTTCCCAATTGGTTCTATTATGAAAACATGGGGAAAGTTTATTAAGCTGCAAAAACTTTGTGTTTGCAGGACATCCTGCCATACCGCATATTGCTATAGTTTTTCATTGAATATCAAGTATCAGCCAGTTCAGTGTAGTTTGTGGAAGTCACCAAAATAAAGTTTCTGGAGTATTACAACTATTTTCAAAGGAAGTATTGCACACTTAAACAGGAGTTGACACTTTCAAACCAGGAACAGATTTTTATTTTGTTTGGCAAGCATTGCAAATGCTGTTTGATTATCAAGAAAAGTTTGATTTTTTAAAATACGTATATATGTAAGGTCCCATAGAAAAATCTCAGGCAGAAAAGGGTAGCAGGTGGAAAATGTTTAACAAGTAGACCTAAAGTGAAATGCCTTGAAATTGGGGAAAGCAAAATCGTTTCTGGGGTCATCATCCTGCCTTTCAGAGAGAGAAAGACTGACTTTGTCTTGCATGAATAATAAAAACACATTGGATGTACAAAAAACCTCTTGGTGGAGCCTAAACCTGCTAGAAGTGAGTTGTTAATCTGGATCAACCTAGCTGCCTGCACTTTTGGCCTCGCCTTGAGGATGAGTCCCATAAGCACTCAGAGAAAGTACTTCGGTTTCAGGACTTGGAACAGCTCCTTTCAAAACCAGAGCAAATGCTCATTTCCAATGAGTTGGAAGCAGCTGTCAACATCCTATGAGCGAGCCTTGATTTTAGCAACCTCTTCCAGAAAACTTTGCATTCTGATTTTTTCTTT